TTCAAACAGGTGCCATTAATACAGGTAACGAGTGGAGGACAGAGGAGCCTCTTAAAGAAGAAGTTACAGGTCTGTGAGAGCCAGAAATCTTGCTTGTTTGTAGGTGACCAAATACTTATTTTCCACCATAATTTGCAAATAAATTCATTAAAAATCCTACAATGTGATTTTCTGGATTTTTTTTTCTCAATTTGTCTGTCATAGTTGACGTGTACCTATGATGAAAATTACAGACCTCTCTCATCTTCTTAAGTGGGAGAACTTGCACAATTGGTGGCTGACTAAATACTTTTTTCCCCACTGTATGCAAATTGCCATCATCAAAACTGAGGCAGCAGACTTTGTGAAAATTAGTATGTGTCATTCTCAACTTGTACAGTGCATTGAGTTTATTTTTATACATTTTAGAGTAAGGCTGTAATGTAACAAAATGCAAAAAAAAAGGGTCTGAATACTTTCCGAATGCACTGTACATTATCTACTGGTATCATTTTAAATTGAGAACATTTTTCTAGCTCATCAATATGCTAATTTGTGAGTTTAGCTATACTCTGCTTCAGATGTACATTGACAAGGGGACATTGATTGTACATGCCCATTAGGCCAGTTCTGCCATCATACTGTAGGCCTATGGCTGCATTGGCGATGCATGCCATTATGTGAAGCTGCAAAATGGGTTCACAAGGCCGATATCCTGAGACTGTGACAATCAAATAAAACCCATTGGAGAGCTCACAACTGGATAAAAAGGTAATGTTAATTTGAGGAAGCAACACGGAAAAAGACAAATAAGTGGCAGATCCCCTTCACACCTTTTTATTGCAGAATTGTGATCTGTGATGAACTAGTGTCAATGTTCATTCATCTTCAATGTTTTTAAGTTAACAATTAATACAAGTTTAATGAAAATAGATTTTGTTCATTTTATTCTAACTTGTTTGTAAATGTTAGACATCTTAGTAAGTAAGCTGTTATTACTAAAGCATTACCAGAGGTGGCCAACCTTGCTCCACTCCCTGATCTACTGGGTGTGCATTCTATTCCAGCCCAGCAATAATACACATGATCAACTCATTAGGTTTGATAAGATGAATTGGGTGTGTTAGTGCTGGGCTGGAACAGAAGCCAGCATACCTCCAGGAGAAGGATTGGCCTGCTACCATTGTAATTTTATTTACTTATTTTATTTAACCTTTATTTAAACAGGGAGTCACATTGAGATTAAAAATCTATTTTACAAGAGAGCCCTGTATACACAATAAACCAAAATAAACATATTTAATAAAAGCAATCACATTCAACTACATAGAGGTCCTCAGTCAATAGTTTGAACTGCCTGCGTGGCACCAGCACACCCAACTGCAGTGAACTCTGCAGATTATTCCACAAATTAGGGACAAAAGAACAAAATGCAGATTTTCCCAAATCTGTGGAGACTGAAGGGATCTCTAGTGTTATCCATTCCTGAGAACGGGTTTGGTAACTTATGATTCTTAACTTAATTAATGAAGGGAGTTTCTGTAATAAAAGAGAATGCAGCTCTCTTCTTACAGACAGAGAGGTCCATCCCACATTTGTATACAGTGTTGAACAGTCCTAAAATTGTCCCCTGTGATAAAACGTATTGCGGAATGCTAGACTGCATCCCCAAGGGTTTCAAAACAGAGGTTCCCGCATGCATGTAAACAATATCATCAAAATCCAATACAGTGAGAAGCATTGTTTGAACAATCTTTCTCCTATTTTCAATACTGAGGCATGATTTATTTCAATATTTAAAAAAACTCTCTTAGCTTCTTAGTCAGATTTTCTATATGCGTTACGAAGGACAACTTGTCATCAATCCAGACACCCAGGTACTTATATTGAGAAACAAGCTCAATTTGGGCTCCATTTGTAGCGCAAATATGCAGGTCCTCAGGGTCAACATTTCGTGACCTAGCATGATCTTAGCGACAGCATCTGTCAAGATGGCCTGAGTTCTGTCGCTAAGATAATTCTGAAACCATAAACAGGATGTATATCCCAGGCCTATTCTTGATAACTTCTTCAGCAAAACAGAATGATCAACAGTGTTGAACTCCTTTGACAGATCAATAAACAAGGCAGCACAGCTCTTTTAGCATCCAAGGCATTGACAAGATCATTAACAACTAGCGTGGTTGCTGTGGTAGTACTATGCCCAGGCCTAAACCCTGATTGGTTTATATTAAAAATACAATTATCAGATAAAAAGGAACATATATTTCCATTCTTCCCATCACGGACTGGTAGAGCTGAGACACCAGGTGGGTGCAATAAGAAAAACAGCAGTACTCAGAACCTCCATACACGGACCTCTAGCCGATGTCTTCCAAGTTCTACAAGGGCAAAATTACTAGCTGATAACAATTCATGTTTGTATTTACATCACGTAATGTAGTGCTCAGTAGAAAGTATATTTATTGGCGAATTGTAGCTAGCTTTTCCCCAATGGTTCCGCTAGCTAGCAAGTGATTCTGTGGAAATCAAGTCCAGTCTGCTGTAGAACTCGATGCTGTGTAAGACGCAAACTCTCGTCGTAGTGAGCAGGACAATGCAAAATTTGTCAAAACGTTTTGAACCACAACAGGACGTTCCCAGACATTTCTGGCTAGTCTATCGCAGAACCGCCTGTGAACACTTCAAGCAGTTCAGGGACAATGAATAAGCCTGCCCTCCTCTTCCTTATTAGTACAGTTAGAAATCGAGAAGGAATATCATCCACAATGATGCTACTAACATTTCTATCAGCTATGGAGACCGTTCATCAGCCAGAACCGCCTGTGAAGGAGCACAAATTATGCAAAAATGTTAGCATGGATGGAAACCTCAAACACATTATCAATGTACAATTCATGCTAAGTGCACTAGTCACAATTCAATTCACATATCCTTCTGTTTTTATTGTTCACAATAACTATGCTCTGATTTAGTGCATGTTGTCATAACCAATCATTCCTTCACTCAATTTACCCAAGTGCGGTTTTATTGAGTAGTTCAATGAGGTGTTATAGCACAGGTAGGGATGACAATGTTCACTGTTACCCATTTACCCAAGTGCGGTTTTATTGAGTAGTTCAATGAGGTGTTATAGCACAGGTAGGGATGACAATGTTCACTGTTACCCAAGAACGAGGAACACTGAACTAGACTAACCAATTGTACAAATCCATTGCTCTTTAGTCCATGAAGAGGGGGAGGGGAGGGGTTAGGAGATCAGGAGTGTGAGCCTGGCTAAGGGCTGGATTCAAGCACAATTGAAATGTAAAGGTAATTTCTGATTAAGCTGACTTATGCAGTGTTTTACCATGAACGCAGTTTCTGCGAACGCGGGAACATTGCCTTTCAATTTCAATCGTGCTGAACTCCCACGATACGGATTGAGTCGAGCCCTAAATCTAAATTCAACAAATTGAGTTGATCTATAAAAGATATTGATCTAATATTGCCACACTGCCTCAAATGAGAATGCGAACTTGGCAACAGTAATTTCTGACCAGGCACCAAATATGGTGCTGGCTGCTGATAGACGATAGAAGCTTGTCTAAATGGAGAATTACAACAAATGATTCAAAATGTTACACTATTTTACACTTTAAATAACTAAAAATAAAGAGTTCAATATCAGTACACAAGCAATACAATTCCTGCTGGCGAGTTCAATCATAAATGATCCAAAACCCTGTAAAATTGACTCAAGTCATTCCCCAAATCAAAGAGGGATCTACAGAATATTTAAAATAAGCCTTTTCTTTGCATTTCCAATTACAATAACCAATGGCTGTATTGTGACAAAGCATAATTTAACGACAAAATTAAATCTTTCGAAAGCAAGATTTAAAATAAGGTAATGTCTTAAAAAAACATACAAATAAAACACCACTTAATTGCAGGCGATTAGTTAAATAAATGACATTTTGCCCTGCTTTTAAGATTCTCATTTGAAGGTATAAACCGAATACCTCTGCCCAATTGAGAATGGTCAGTTTTAAATTTCAAATGGGGGTGGTCCAAGGGGTCTTGTTAGTGAGGTGAAGAAGTCCCTTTTCAGGCATAAGGCATTCTGCAGCATCTCCACTGTTGGCTTGTTGCCTGCCCCCAACCAACAGTGCATCAAACTCCAGTCTTCAGCTTCCCGATAACTGACTTCACTCTGGGGTTCTGATGTAAACCTGGGCAGGCAGTGTCCAGGTCCCTATACATGCAAATTAGAGTGTTGGCAGTTCAATTAATAGTAACAGCCCCCCCCCCAAAAAAAAGATCACTGTCAGGTACGCAACATACCTAGTCAAATTTAGTTTTATTTGAGAATTCCCTTTGATTCACAAAACATATAAAATGCATTCAAAAACACTTAACACAAAATGTCAATAGGGACTCGTCAAACGCTCGCCACTTCACCCTCTTAAGACACACTGAGTTCACGTGCAACGTCACACAATCCTCCAATCTCCCCCAGTGCTCTCAACACAGACAACCACCAACAGCAGGTCACATTTTCACACAGAAAGGTGTAGGAACAAGGAGAAAATAAAGCACACACACCCTACAGCATTCACATCAAATCAGACAGCAAGAAAGGATACAAATATTCTTAGCGCTAAACATTCCACTGTGCTTAAGATTAAGCTTGATAGAAATAGAGAAAGGAGACCTTAGGGATCTCAAGATGCGATGAATGTCCTTTTGATGGTCATATGGAACACACTTCTTCCTTTCACACTCGCACAAAGCCACAGGTTCTTCACAACTCTCGCAGACAACTGGCTCTTTAGCATCGCACAACCAGTCCTTTTCACACTTCTTTTCCCCCGTTCGCGCACTCAGTCTCTCACTCTTTGGCCACTACCAATCGCATTGTTCTCAAGTGATGAAGCTGACAAGATTTTTAGATCCATGAAAAGGGGAGAAAAAAGACAACACCCACCGTCTAACACAGTATATGCAGAGTGAAGCTGTGTCTTTTGATGGCAAAGCATTTACACATGGGAAGAGGGGTACTGATACTGAGTTCGGTCGAACATTACTGCCAACGAGGGGCTTCTTCCCGGGAAATTCGAAAAGAGTTGGTTAACTGTTGAAGAGATTTTCATGAAGGCGTTTCCATAAAACGGCAAACAAAAAAGATACCATCAACTGCATTGAGATTAAACCTCAAGCCCAATTCAAGACCATTTAATCACATACAGGTGGTTGAGGGGGGCTTTCGTGATACTCGTGCATCTCAGAAATACCTACTTAGCATGCAGTCATCTCATGTCTAATACAAAATAACTTTTTCTCAAGAAAAACAAAAAATGACAGGTAGTGTAGCAGTTTACCACTAAAGAACTATACACTTCAACCACTCTGTGCACTCATTTCCTACATAATTAGTCACACACACAAACATATGAATATTCAAATGTCTTTAACAAAATGAAAGGCAATATAGTTTTAAATAGCAGGGAGATAAGATATGACTAACTCTTTCTTGCCCCTCAAAATACTTACCAGATTAATCTAGAAATAGGACTTTAAATCAAAGCTTTCTACATTCCCCAACCTGTTGACTTTGACTCCATAGAGGTCCCAAAGCCAGAGCTGAACCCACTGCTGGAGGCAGAGTTGGTGCCTGCAGCCCACCCTAGACTAGCTGAGCTGGGGCTGCTGTAACTGGTGCTGCTAGAGCTATAGGCCTGGCTCTGATCTCGGTTGGCACTGGTCTGCCCGGCGGCGGTGGTGCCTGCCGCATTGGTCTGACCTTGCTGGTTAGCCAGCATACCCATCATGCCCCAGCTGCTCTGCAGAGCGGCGGCCATCATGGCTGGGTTAAGGCTAAGCCCCCCGAAATTCACCCCGCTACTGCCACTGCTCCCTAGCCCTCCACGACCACCGCCATAGCCCTGGCCCCCGAACCCACCGGCACCACGATCCATCATTTGCCTACTATTATTGTGCTTAGGCTCGGCGTTGGAGATATGCACACTGACGCCCTTGATGATCAGGTCCTCTCCACACAGGGCTGAGGCAACCTAGACAGAGAGGGGGGCGGGTGGAGGAGATGATTCAACAAGCAAACCAAACAGAGTATAATCTGCGCACCACTTCAAAAGTCTTGACCCAACAGGTTGATCAACGGCCATAGGAAAACATACCTGGTCGTCTGCGAAAGTGACAAAGGCGAACGCTCGGAAGGGTTTGGGAATGAAGACGTCGGTGACCTCACCATACTGCATGAAGAACTGCCGGAGCTCATCAGTGGTTATGTCCTCTGTGCAGCGGCCAACAAATATTTTACGGCTGCGCATGGGCTCATCGGGACCTGCCTATCATGACAATAAGAGTGAAAGCCCTTAAGTATTTTACCTGAACTGTGAATCTAACAAAATCGAGACTTTAGAGGAAAGGATTCAAATAAGCAGGTACTCAAACATTGATTAAATACCTTAGAGTTGGGTAGTTTGCAGTCACACCATCTTCCGTCAATCATGTGTCGCTGAGAAATCACTTTGGATTGAGTCTCGTACTCAGTGAACCGAACAAAGCCAAAACCCTTTGAGTTCCCAGTCTTAACATCTCTTTTGACCTGCGCGCGCAGAGAGAGAGCGAGAGAGGTATGATTATTGACATGCATGCTACCTCCATGAAGTACATCAACCATTAATAATAATAATAATAATAATATGCCATTTAGCAGACGCTTTTATCCAAAGCGACTTACAGTCATTCGTGCATACATTTTTGTGTATGGGTGGTCCCGGGGATCGAACCCACTACCTTGGCGTTACAAGCGCCGTGCTCTACCAGCTGAGCTACAGAGGACCACATTAAACAAAATGTTGATTAGGTTGGGTTACCTGCACCATGATGACTTCTCCAAAAGTGGCGAAGTAGTCTTTCAAATCTTGCTCAGATGTTTTCCAAGGCAACCCAAGGATAATGAGGTCTGATGTTTTCTCGATACCCCGCTTCATTTTAACCGCAGAGGCAGCATCCATTTCATCCATTTTCCTTTTGTTATCTGACACAGGAATGCAAAATGTTGTATGACATTATGATACAGTGTTAAGACAAAATCAAGAGGATGAACAATGTTAAAATACTTGGTCATTGGCCTAAACATACTAGCTAAGAAATATAAATGTTTGGTAGATCTAGCTAGTATACCCTATAGAGACGGACCCTATTGAGTGTAGCAATGTCGTTGTCCTGCGCTCCGACCTTCTACGTACTCCCGTACCACATGAAAATTGTAACGCGGCATATCATTCCTTGCGTAGCCATGGCAGCTCGCTTGGTTCCTTGATCTGGTCTATAGGCTATGCATCAAAGTAACCTATTTTGCATTGATAAATACATTTTATCTCAGCGACTGTTCAAACAATAAACCAAACATTGTAGCCTTATTAGAATCCCCCCAAAAGTAATAACTATTGATTCCAGGCTTTGGTAAAAACAGCTGTGAGATGTGCTTTTTCTCTGCAACCAAAACATGAGAACATTCCATTTTATCTCATATGGGTGTGAATACATTGTAGCAGCATATCAAATTGGGATAATGTTGTAGGTTACATTGGCAAGTATACAAATATTTGCCACGGCATATTATTTAATTACAAATCAGAATATTTCAAATGGCGATGTGGGAAGCTAATCAACTTCAAAATCACTTCGACTTCAAGATTGCTGTCTCGGTTTAGCTTGGCATTAAATAAGCACCCTATTTGGCATTGATAAAGTATATAAATCGCAGTCGCTAGAGCGCGATGTGACACAGCCTGGGATCAAACCCGGGTCTGTAGGGACGCCTCATGCTCTGCGATGCAGTGCCTTAGACCGCTGCGCCACTCAGGAGGCCCCAAAAACATATTTTGACCAATAGGTAAAATATGATAATTGTGTAGATACCAACGGTCCAAATCTAATGTCTCTGTCGTAATCTGTTCAATAGTTATTGGAATTTGTACCCTTGTAGGATGGCCACAATTAGGGTGACTAAATCGATGGGAGGCCAAAGAAAGAACAAAAATGGTCAAAAATCCAGAAAATAGCATTGCGTCAGCTAGACTTATTACTGTCTGCGCAATGAACAGAGAACCCAACTGGCTGGACCGACTCAGACAGTATATCCCGAGAGAGCCATGTTTCCGTGTTCATTAAAAATCCTACAATGTGATTTTCTGGATTTTTCTCTCTCAATTTGTCTGTCATAGTTGACGTGTACCTATGATGAAAATTACAGGCCTCTCTCATCTTTTTAAGTGGGAGAACTTGCACAATTGGTGGCTGACTAAATACTTTTTTCCCCCACTGTATATGATCAGAGCATGACAATGTTCTATTTCACACCGAGGCTTGGTGGTTATCGAGGGAGAGTGTTGGAAATATTTTTCTAATTGAGAGAGGAACTTGCAATGGATGTAAAAAACTGACTTGACTTTCTGTGTAATGAAAATAAAAAAAAGTGTCTCCTTGCCAATGTAACAGACATGTTTGGTAAAATGAACGAACTGAACGCAAGCATGCATGGGAAATACCAAAAAATTCTACAGAATCTGCTATATACGTTTGACTGTGATCCTGGAGCTAATCTTGCCATAATATGGACTTGGTCTTTTACCAAATTGGGCTATCTTCTGTATACCACCCCTACCTTGTCACAACACAACTGATTGGCACAAACGCATTAAGGAGGAAAGAAATTTCACAAATTAACTTTTAACAAGGCAAACCTGTTAATTGAAATCCATTCCAGGTGACTACCTCATGAAGCTGGTTGAGAGAATGCCAAGAGTGTGCAAAGCTGTCATCAAGGAAAAGGGTGGCTACTTTGAAGAATCTCAAATATAAAATATATTTCGATTTGTTTAACACTTTTTTGGTTACTACAGGTCCTTCCCTCCTGCTCCGTGGCTTGACGACTCATTGCGAGCTCACAGAACAGGGCTCCGGGCAGCCGAGCAGAAATGGAGGAAAACTAGACTCCCTGCGGAGTCTAGTCTCCCTGGCATCTTTTCACTCCCTCCTCTCTACATTTTATTCCTCTGTTTCTGCTGCTAAAGCCACTTTCTACCACTCTAAATTCCAAGCATCTGCCTCTAACCCTAGGAAGCTCTTTGCCACCCCCTCCTCCCTCTCTGTGGATGACTTCGTCAACCATTTTGAAAAGAAGGTTGATGACATCCGATCCTCATTTGTTAAGTCAAATGACACAGCTGGTCCTGCTCACACTGCCCTACCCTATGCTTTCACTTCTTTCTCCCCTCGCTCTCCAGATGAAATCTTGCGACTTGTGACGGCCGGCCGCCCAACAACCTGCCCGCTTGACCCTACCCCCTCCTCTCTTCTCCAGACCATTTCCCGGAGACCTTCTCCCTTACCTCACCTCGCTCATCAACTCATCCTTGACCGCTGGCTATGTCCCTTCTGTCTTCAAGAGAGCGAGAGTTGCACCACTCCTCAAAAAACCTACACTCGATCCCGCCGATGTCAACAACTACAGACCAGTATCCCTTCTTTCTTTTCTCTCCAAAACTCTTGAGCGTGCCGTCTTTAGCCAACTCTCTTGCTATCTCTCTCAGAATGACCTTCTTGATCCAAACCAGTCAGGTTTCAAGACTGGTCATTCAACTGAGACTGCTCTTCTCTGTGTCATGGAGGCTCTCCGCACTGCTAATGCTAACTCTCTCTCCTCTGCTCTCGTCCTTCTAGACCTATCTGCTGCCTTTGATACTGTGAACCATTAGATCCTCCTCTCCACCCTCTCCGAGTTAGGCATCTCGGCTCACTCTTGGATTGCGTCCTACCTGACAGGTCGCTCCTACCAGGTGGCGTGGCGAGAATCTGTCTCCGCACCACGTGCTCTCACCACTGGTGTCCCCCAGGGCTCAGTTCTAGGCCCTCTCCTATTCTCCCTATACACCAAGTCACTTGGCTCTGTCATATCCTCACATGGCCTCTCCTATCATTGCTACGCAGACGACACACAATTAATCTTCTCCTTTCCCCCTTCTGATAACCAGGTGGCGAATCGCATCTCTGCATGTCTGGCAGACATATCAGTGTGGATGACGGATCACCACCTCAAGCTGAACCTCGGCAAGACAGAGCTGCTCTTCCTCCCGGGGAAGGACTGCCCGTTCCATGATTTCGCCATCACGGTTGACAACTCCGTTGTGTCCTCCTCCCAGAGTGCAAAGAGCCTTGGCGTGACCCTGGACAACACCCTGTCGTTCTCCGCTAACATCAAAGCGGTGACCCGATCCTGCAGGTTCATGCTCTACAACATTCGCAGAGTACGACCCTACCTTACACAGAAAGCGGCACAGTTCCTAATCCAGGTACTTGTCATCTCCCGTCTGGATTACTGCAACTCGCTATTGGCTGGGCTCCCTGCCTGTGCCATTAAACCCCTACAACTCATCCAGAACGCCGCAGCCGTCTGGTGTTCAACCTTCCCAAGTTCTCTCACGTCACCCCACTGGCTTCCAGTTGAAGCTCGCATCTGCTACAAGACCATGGTGCTTGCCTACGGAGCTGTGAGGGGAACGGCACCTCCGTACCTTCAGGCTCTGATCAGTCCCTACACCCAAAACGAGGGCACTACGTTCATCCACCTCTGGCCTGCTGGCTCCCCTACCTCTGCGGAAGCACAGTTCCCACTCAGCCCAGTCAAAACTGTTCGCTGCTCTGGCACCCCAATGGTGGAACAAGCTCCCTCACGCCAGGACAGCGGAGTCACTCACCACCTTCCGGAGACACTTGAAACCCCACCTCTTTAAGGAATACTAATTGTAAAGTGGTTGTCCCACTGGCTATCATAAGGTGAATGCACCAATTTGTAAGTCGCTCTGGATAAGAGCGTCTGCTAAATGACGAAAATGTAAATGTTTATTTCAAAAACCCTGGAATGAGTAGGTGTCCAAACTTTTGACTGGTACATGTATATACACTGCTCAAAAAAATAAAGGGAACACTTAAACAACACAATGTAACTCCAAGTCAATCACACTTCTGTGAAATCAAACTGTCCAATTAGGAAGCAACACTGATTGACAATACATGTCACATGCTGTTGTGCAAATGGAATAGACAACAGGTGGAAATTATAGGCAATTAGCAAGACACCCCCAATAAAGGACTGGTTTTGCAGGTGGTGACCACAGACCACTTCTCAGTTCCTATGCTTCCTGGCTGATGTTTTGGTCACTTTTGAATGCTGGCGGTGCTTTCACTATAGTGGTAGCATGAGACGGAGTCTACAACCCACACAAGTGGCTCAGGTAGTGCAGCTCATCCAGGATGGAACATCAATGCGAGCTGTGGCAAGAAGGTTTGCTGTGTCTGTCAGCGTAGTGTCCAGAGCATGGAGGCGCTACCAGGAGACAGGCCAGTACATCAGGAGACGTGGAGGAGGCCGTAGGAGGGCAACAACCCAGCAGCAGGACTGCTACCTCCGCCTTTGTGCAAGGAGGAGCACTGCCAGTGCCCTGTAAAATGACCTCCAGCAGGCCACAAATGTGCATGTCTGCTCAAACAGTCAAACAGACTCTATGAGGGTGGTATGAGGGCCCGACGTCCACAGGTGGGGGTTGTGCTTACAGCCCAACACCGTGCAGGATGTTTGGCATTTGCCAGAGAACACCAAGATTGGCAAATTCGCCACTGGCGCCCTGTGTTCTTCACAGATAAAAGCAGGTTCACACTGAGCACATGACAGAGTCTGGAGACGCCGTGGAGAACGTTCTGCTGCCTGCAACATCCTCCAGCATGACTGGTTTGGCAGTGGGTCAGTCATGGTGTGGGGTGGCATTTCTTTGGGGGGCCGCACAGCCCTCCATGTGCTCGCCAGAGGTAGCCTGACTGCCATTCGGTACCGAGATGAGATCCTCAGACCCCTTGTGAGACCATATGCTGGTGCGGTTGGCCCTGGGTTCCTCCTAATGCAAGACAATGCTAGACCTCATGTGGCTGGAGTGTCAGCAGTTCCTGCAAGAGGAAGGCATTGATGCTATGGACTGGCCCGCCCGTTCCCCAGACCTGAATCCAATTGAGCACATCTGGGACATCATGTCTCGCTCCATCCACCAACGCCACGTTGCACCACAGACTGTCCAGGAGTTGGCGGATGCTTTAGTCCAGGTCTGGGAGGAGATCCCTCAGGAGACCATCCGCCACCTCATCAGGAGCATGCCCAGCCATTGTAGGGAGGTCATACAGGCACGTGGATGCCACACACACTACTGAGCCTCATTTTGACTTGTTTTAAGGACATTACATCAAAGCTGGATCAGCCTGTAGTGTGGTTTTCCACTTTAATTTTGAGGGTGACTCCAAATCTGGGGCGGCAGGTAGCTTAGTGGTTAAGAGCGTTGTGCCAGTAACCGAAAGGTCGCTGGTTCTAATCCCCGAGCCGACTAGGTGAAAGATCTGTCGACGTGCCCTTGAGCAAGGCACTTAACCCTAATTGCTCCTGTAAGTCGCTCTGGATAAGAGCGTCTGCTAAATGACTAAAATGTAAATGTAAATGTAAATCCAGACCTCCATGGGTTGATAAATTTGATTTCCATTGATAATTTTTGTGTGATTTTGTTGTCAGCACATTCAACTATGTAAAGAAAAAAGTATTTAATAAGATTATTTCATTCATTCAGATCTAGGATGTGTTATTTTAGTGTTCCCTTAATTTTTTTGAGCAGTATATATATATATATATATATATATATATATATTCTAAAAACCTGTTTTTGCTTCGTCATTATTGGGTATTGGGTGTGGATTGATAAAACAGTTTTTAATCCATTTTAGAACAAGGCTGTAATGTAACAATTTTGAAAAAGTCAAGGGGTCTGAATACTTTCCTAATGCACTGTATAAATCTGAAGCATCGGTTGGCGTTTCCACTCACTACCAAATATGGTGATGAGAGGAAGCCCAGTGCTAATCTTCTCGTCAATGAAACATTTGATCTTCATACAGATCTGTTTCCAAAACTAGAATGTGTAACAGAGTTGACTGCATTTTGTAGACTTTACCCTTTGCCAAAGTCTCTAAAAATTGTGTTGTTTAGGAGTTCAAGGGTGAATTTAGTTATTGTATACGAGCACTTAAGAGTACGCGTTCCATAACGGAAATATGAAAATAAATGCTCTTGCGTGCCAATAGGATCTCAAACATCATGAAGTTTACCATAGTTCCCCAGAATGTTTGAGCGAGTCACGTATTTGTTTGTAAATAGCACAACGGGTGAAAGCGGGAGCAGTTGAGTCCAGCTGTGTATTGACAGGGGTCGCGTTTTATATTGAAAGTCAACAGGTTATTTTTGCTTCAATCGTGTGATCAGGGAGGTGCAACTATAGTTTTCCTTCAAAGAAAACACATTAGTGCAACATTCTGCAGATAAATTTTCATCAGATGACAACAGAAGTGCAACGCTATTTGGCTGGCAGCCACAGTAAATTAGTAAATGAGAGTACAATGAAAAAGCAAGGTCTTTTTGCATAAAGTTTAACTTGCTAGTCATCTAAGTAAGTTACTGAAGTAAAAAGGTGATGGGGCATCATATTGTATAAGCTTTCTGCAGTGTTTGAGAAGTCAAAGCCCATTGGAGGAGTTATCTGTACAGCTACCACCATCTTGATTTCCTTGCCTTTTTTCTCTTCTCCATTCTCCACCCGTTTTGCTCTTCCCCCCTCTTCTCCATGCAGAGCAGGCAGCCCCGTTGTCCTAGCGACTCCGGACAGACACAGCGTGTACACATGATGCTTCAGAGCAGACAAGCATGCGTCAAAACTTTGTTACTTTGCACAATGTCTCTCATTCATGTTCGCTTGTAAATGTCCAAACTCATCAAAAATGTCATTCGGTACTTGTATAACTTTATGAGCTGGATTGCCTGTTTTTGCAATTCATTTATTTTCGTTTGCGCTCTCTAGCATATTTAGCTAGCAGCCTTCATCAAAATTCACAAATTTTGTTAGCATTCTGTTAACAGATGCCCAATGGACTTTGTGTGTTTTTTTTGCACCCCCTTGTGTACTAAGCCAGTAATACCGCAAATCCCGGAATGAGAGAAGGACGGTATGAAAATATGAAAATCTGGAAACCGCCCAACCCTACATCTGATTGTCAATCACTTCAAAGGGCTCCTTCATAGGCTACCCGCACACGTTCATCCAACATATTTTCAGCCTCCAAACAGTAGTGAATGGAAAGAGACGTATGTTACACAAAACACCAAAAAGTATTATGACAAATTTGGCAAATTTCTGCGTCCGCTGTGGACTGCGGGCGTTTCTGTATCGGCCACTCATCTCTGCCTTGGCAAAATGTCACTTCTAAGTGAACCACATCGCATTTCAGCGTAGGCTATACCTCCCGTTTAAGTCCATTCACTCATTTGTCATGCCTCTGACATGCGGTAATGATAAAAAGTGGTGTAATAGCATAGTTTCCTTGACATTTTGTTTTAATTATTGTGAATGGCTCATGTTTTACCCTGGCTATATCTGCTACATGATTTACAGTGGGGGGAAAAAAGTATTTAGTCAGCCACCAATTGTGCAAGTTCTCCCACTTAAAAAGATGAGAGAGGCCTGTAATTTTCATCATAGGTACACGTCAACTATGACAGACAAATTGAGGGAAAAAAATCCAGAAAATCACATTGTAGGATTTTTAATGAATTTATATGCAAATTATGGTGGAAAATAAGTATTTGGTCACCTACAAACAAGCAAGATTTCTGGCTCTCACAGACCTGTAACTTCTTCTTTAAGAGGCTCCTCTGTCCTCCACTCGTTACCTGTATTAATGGCACCTGTTTGAACTTGTTATCAGTATAAAAGACACCTGTCCACAACCTCAAACAGTCACACTCCAAACTCCACTATGGCCAAGACCAAAGAGCTGTCAAAGGACACCAGAAACAAAATTGTAGACCTGCACCAGGCTGGGAAGACTGAATCTGCAATAGGTAAGCAGCTTGGTTTGAAGAAATCAACTGTGGGAGCAATTATTAGGAAATGGAAGACATGACCACTGAAAATCTCCCTCGATCTGGGGCTCCATGCAAGATCTCACCCCGTGGGGTCAAAATGATCACAAGAACGGTGAGCAAAAATCCCAGAACCACACGGGGGGACCTAGTGAATGACCTGCAGAGAGCTGGGACCAAAATAACAAAGCCTACCATCAGTAACACACTACGCCGCCAGGGACTCAAATCCTGCAGTGCCAGACGTGTCCCCCTGCTTAAGCCAGTACATGTCCAGGCCCGTCTGAAGTTTGCTAGAGTGCATTTGGATGATACAGAAGAGGATTGGGAGAATGTCATATGGTCAGATGAAACCAAAATAGAACTTTTTGGTAAAAACTCAACTCGTCGTGTTTGGAGGACAAAGAATGCTGAGATGCATCCAAAGAACACCATACCTACTGTGAAGCATGGGGGTGGAAACATCATGCTTTGGGGCCGTTTTTCTGCAAAGGGACCAGGACGACTGATCTGTGTAAAGGAAAGAATGAATGGGGCCATGTATTGTGACATTTTGAGTGAAAAACTCCTTCCATCAGCAAGGGCATTGAAGATGAAACGTGGCTGGGTCTTTCAGCATGACAATGATCCCAAACACACCGCCCGGGCAACGAAGGAGTGGCTACGTAAGAAGCATTTCAAGGTCCTGGAGTGGCCTAGCCAGTCTCCAGATCTCAACCCCATAGAAAATCTTTGGAGGGAGTTGAAAGTCCGTGTTGCCCAGCGACAGCCCCAAAACATCACTGCTCTAGAGGAGATCTGCATGGAGGAATGGGCCAAAATACCAGCAACAGTGTGTGAAAACCTTGTGAAGACTTACAGAAAACGTTTGACCTGTGTCATTGCCAACAAATGGTATATAAAAGTATGAGAAACTTGTTATTGACCAAATACTTATTTTCCAGCCATAATTTGCAAATAAATTCATAAAAAATCCTACAATGTGATTTTCTGGATTATTTTTCTTCTAATTTTGTCTGTCATAGTTGACGTGTACCTATGATGAAAATTACAGGCCTCTCATCTTTTTAAGTGGGAGAACTTGCACAATTGGTGGCTGACTAAATACTTTTTTCCCCCACTGTATGTTAGATTATTATTTTAATGGAACGTTGGTGGAGTGCTGCAGTTGTGCATCTCTCCAACAGAGGCGCACTAGGAATGGACAAGCAAAATATTTTGAGCCCCTGCCTTTGACAAAGTGGCCAAGGCTTATCACAGGGCGGCATCAGTGCTCACCTAAAAAGCCCATATGCCACTGGTTGAGATAAATTGTCATTGTTTTGGGGCTGAATAATGTGAGGTTTTATGTGTTGTTGGAGGTGCATCTTGGTCAGTTTAACTCAAAAAATGCCGCCATCATCAATCTGCAGCCATAGGCAGCTGCCTAATGTGCGGCCCGGCCCTGATCTTTGGTTAGTTATACAAAATATTTGTCTGTGTGTAATGGAAGAAGGCATTAAGTGTGAGGAATTAAGGCCCATATCTTTAACTTTTTGTGCATCAACTTTGTAACGTTACACAATCATAGCTATGTTGCTAGTTAGCCCTTGATAATGACTGAGTTACAGTACAGACCGAGTCTGGGGAATTTTGTTAAGAGCCCTGATGCTCGGTCTGAACATTAACACGCATTGCCTGAGGTACGGTTTTGGAAGGATAAGGCCATTAGCCTTCATATCAGCAGAAATAATAATAAAATAAAATAAACGTTAAATTGATACACACCTTTATAGGGTTAGTGTTCCCACACGGCCATATCGCAATGTTCCATTAAAGTGCGTGTTTACGGAAGACAGACCGGAGACAGAGGAACCACTTGTGCTAATTACTTACCTAGCATGGTCCGAACACCTGTATGTAAAGGAAGGACGACGCCATAAACGTGTTGTCACTGAAAAATACTGTCGGTTGTAATTGTAATAAAGCCAGTTATGAGTTTGTATTTTGCGAATAATTATTTAGATGCGTTGTGAAAGTAAAGGGCTTTGTATTTATAGAACCGTATCACAATTGAGAATCGATTCAAGTTTAGATGGAGTATTTGGCTGTTTTGGCTGCCAGAGCGAGTCTACCTCTGAAAATAACTTAAGGTCCTTGGACCAAGGGGGTATCGTTAGACTCAACTTACATATTGGTATAGTAGGTAGCTAACGTTAGCAAGTAACTAGCTAGTACAGGTAACAGCAACCATGCAGCTTCATTTGGCGAGCTATCTACTAACGTTGCCTATAAACGAAAACACATCTTACCTTTTGGGTAGTTGACGACGTACACCAGACTACCCCAGTCATTCTCAGGTGCATGCAAGATACCCTCAACTAGACGGACGCCTCGCATGCACTGAGACACAGGGTTCCTGTAACGTAGGCCGCACGCTCCGGGAAACTGAGCTGCTACTGTTGACAGCAAAACCGTCCCATCATCCTCAGATGGAATCTCCATTGGCTCTTCGTTTTCATCCTCTGCCACGCGAATGTACAACTCCGCCATGGTCTCGGAGTTAGATTAGGACGTAGCAAGCTAGCTAATGGCTAATTCACGTTGAAAGCTGATGGCGCACGCGGGGTTGTGTCGATTGTTAGCAAGCCAGCCAACAAAGCCAAAGCGATATTCCAATGAGTTTCTAATCTAATTTAGGTAAAACAAGCTGACTGAACGGCAACAAGTATAGCTAATTTGTGCGTTCACGGGACAGACGTCTGTTTAAAAAAAATCGATAGATGGTGGCCATGAGAGCTGAAAGGGCCCTATGTTGCTGGCTAATAAACGCCGCACACGCTTGCAACATGAATGGCTAGCAAGAGCTCAAACGCATATGATAAACAAATATTGGCCTATCTTCTTTACTGCTTTAAAAACGAGGTCGACCCTGTTAGCGAAATAAATTATCCTTGATAAAGTATAAGAACCGGTGTAATCACACCTCCAATTTGTGAGGGTAAAAAAAATATATGAATGGCGTACGCTAATCTCCCTTGCCTTCAAACGTCTAACAAAATGGCCGCTTCTTCTTCGGTGGGGTTTATCGGCGGTTGGCATCCAACGTTATGGTGCATTACCGCGCCCTACTGTACTGGAGTGTAGGCCAGAGACAGGGAGAAACTAAATCCTGTCTGCCAGCCTTTCTCTTAAAAAATATGAAATATTTGAGACTGTATCTAATGACGTTCTACTCAATATACTATTTAAACTAATGTCCTGTATCTCCTTCTCCCTCATGATCTCAGCCTTTCTCTTTCCCCTCTCATACTGCCCACACAGTATCAATACAATTTGTAAGTCGATCTGGATAAGAGCGTCTGCTAAATGATGTAAATGTAAATGTATTGCTCCACGGTCTCTGTTTCCTGGCAATCGTCACACTTTCCTGTTGGATGCTTTCCTATCACATTTAAAGTCTTATTCAGCCGGCTGTGTCCCACCCTTAACTTTGTAAAAATAGCCTCCTCTCTTCTGTTCCTTCCTGCCATCCTCCCCTCCCCAACTTTCCTCTGTACTTGAAATAAATGCCTGCCCTTAGTATCTCTATTCCACTGCTTCTGCCATCTCTGTACCATCACTGTCCATATCAGGCTTTTTGCCTCTGCCTTGCTCATTGAAACTCATCAACATCCCCACTACTAAGTGCTTGTTTAGCCAGGAGGGTTCTAGGGGGTAACTAGCCACCCCCCTAAGAACAATGTCTAATTGCTGACACAAAAAAAGCAACGTTTGAAGAAAATAATTGTATGTGGATGAAGGTCATGCTTAAGCGAATAAACTATAAAGTGAAATAAATGACTACAGTTGACAGTTTTTTAGTTATTTCATGAAATGTTGTTTTTAGAAAAGGGGCATTTTTTTAAAGTACCGGGGTAACTGCCCCCAGGGGTGCCAGTTACCCCGGTAGAAGATTATGGTATAGGGTTTCACATAAGTGTGTTAAAATCCATTTAATCCGTTTTATTTAGAAATTCTTTAGTAAGTAATACTTATAAGTCTAGTTGTCTTATTTTAATTATTTAAATAAAATATGGTGAGGGAAATGGTGTTGCACATGTCACCATTAATATCCGCACTATGAGGAGATTTGATGTAAAGTCCCTCTTTTTAACTCACCTGCACTCCGATTCTACTTCTAATTTTCTTTGTTATTTTTGTTGTTGCTCCTTTTCCATACAATCCATTATGTACAATTGCACTAAATATTATTTCAATAATGCAATATTTTAAATCCTAGCATTCTTTAAAATGATATTCAGGAGCAAAAGGTTTTCAATAGTTGTTTAAAAAAATCATTGGAATATACTATTGGAATGGATTATAACTAATAACATTAAATTACATTTGAATATAACATTTAATAACAATAACTAATTAAATCAGGGTAAAATTGATGTGGCAACTCTCTAATGCTCTGCTATTGCACGATTCTAATTTGTACTTTGTAATTTGTAATTTGCCTTGATAAGTTCCTTTCCTGAGGATGGCTCACCCCTCACAGTTTTGGGGGATTTCAACCTCCCTATGTCCACATTTGACTCATTTCTCTCTGCCTCCTTCTTTCCACTCCTCTCCTCTTTTGACCTCACCCTCTCACCGTCCCCCCCTACTCACAAGGCAGGCAATACGCTTGACCTCATCTTTACTAGATGCTGCTCTTCTACTAATCTCACTGCAACTCCCCTCCATGTCTCCGACCACTACTTTGTTTCCTTTTCTCTCTCGCTCTCCTCCAACACTACTCACTCTGCCCCTACACAGATGGTAATGCGCCGCCGCAACCTTCGCTCTCTCTCTCCCACTACTCTCTCCTCTTCCATCCTATCATATCTTCCCTCTGCTCAATCCTTCTCCCTCCAATCTCCTGATTCTGCCTCCTCAACCCTCCTCTCCTCCCTTTCTGCATCCTTTGACTCTCTGTGTCCCCTATCCTCCCGGCCGGCTCGGTCCTCCCCTCCAGCTCCGTGGCTTGATGACTCATTGCGAGCTCACAGAACAGAGCTCCGGGCAGCGGAGCGGAAATGGAAGAAAACTAAACTCCCTGCCGACCTGGCATCTTTTCACTCCCTCCTCTCTACATTTTCTTCATCTGTTTCTGCTGCTAAGGCCACTTTCTACCACTCTAAATTCCAAGCATCTGCCTCTAACCCTAGGAAGCTCTTTGCCACATTTTCCTCCCTCCTGAATCCTCCCCCCCCCCCCCCCCCCCCCCTCCTCCCTCTCTGTGGATGACTTCGTCAACCACTTTGAAAAGAAGGTTGACGACATCCGATCCTCGTTTGTTAAGTCTAATGACACTGCTGGTCCTACTCACACTGCCCTACCCTATGCTTTGACTTCTTTCTCCCCTCTCTCTCCAGATAAAATCCTGCGACTTGTGACTGCAGGCCGCCCAACAACCTGCCCGCTTGACCCCATCCCCTCCTCTCTTCTCCAGACCATCTCCGGTGACCTTCTCCCCTACCTCACCTCGCTGATCAACTCATCCTTGACCGCTGGCCATGTCCCTTCCATCTTCAAGAGAGCGAGAGTTGCTCCCCTTCTCAAAACACCAACACTCGATCCCACTGATGTCAACAACTACAGACCAGTATCCCTTCTTTCTTTTCTTTCCAAAACTATTGAGCGTGCCGTCTTTAGCCAGCTCTCTTGCTATCTCTCTCAGAATGACCTTCTTGATCCAAACCAGTCAGGTTTCAGGACTGGTCATTCAACTGAGACTGCTCTTCTCTGTGTCATGGAGGCTCTCCGCACTGCTAAAGCTAACTCTCTCTCCTCTGCTCTTGTCCTTCTAGACCTGTCTGCTGCCTTTGATACTGTGAACCATCAGATCCTCCTCTCCACCCTCTCCGAACTGGGCATCTCCGGCGCGGCTCACTCCTGGATTGCGTCCTACCTGACCGGTCGCTCCTACCAAGTGGCGTGGCGAGAAGCTGTCTCCGCACCACGTGCTCTCACCACTGGTGTCCCCCAGGGCTCAGTTCTAGGCCCTCTCCTTTTCTCCCTATACACCAAGTCACTTGGCTCTGTCATATCCTCACATGGCCTCTCCTATCATTGCTGCGCTGACGATACACAACTAATCTTCTCCTTTCCCCCTTCTGATAACCAGGTGGCGAATCGCATCTCTGCATGTCTGGCAGACATATCAGTATGGATGACGGATCACCACCTCAAGCTGAACCCTGGCAAGACGGAGCTGCTCTTCCACCCGGGGAAGGACTGCCCGTTCCATGATCTCGCCATCACGGTTGACAACTCCGTTGTGTCCTCCTCCCAGAGTGCGAAGAGCCTTGGCGTGACCCTGGACAACACCCTGTCGTTCTCCGCTAACATCAAGGCGGTGACCCGCTCCTGCAGGTTCATGCTCTACAACATTCGGAGAGTACGACCCTGCCTTACACAGGAAGCGGCACAGGTCCTAATCCAGGCACTTGTCATCTCCCGTCTGGATTACTGCAACTCGCTGTTGGCTGGCCTCCCTGCCTGTGCCATTAAACCCCTACAACTCATCCAGAATGCCGCAGCCCGTCTGGTGTTCAACCTTCCCAAGTTCTCTCACGTCACCCCCCTCCTCCGCACACTCCACTGGCTTCCAGTTGAAGCTCGCATCCGTTACAAGACCATGGTGCTTGCCTATGGAGCAGTGAGGGGAACGGCACCTCTGTACCTTCGGGCTCTGATCAGTCCCTACACCCAAACGAGGGCATTGCGTTCATCCACCTCTGGCCTGCTGGCTCCCCTTCCTCTGCGGAAGCATAGTTCCCGCTCAGCCCAGTCAAAACTGTTCACTGCTCTGGCACCCCAATGGTGGAACAAGCTCCCTCACGACGCCAGGACAGCGGAGTCACTCACCACCTTCCGGAGACATTTGAAACCCCACCTCTCTAAGGAATACCTGGGATAGGATAAAGTAATCCTTCTACCCCCCCCCCCCCCCCCCCCCCAAAAAAACATTTTTGTAAAGTGGTTATCCCACTGGCTATAGGGTGAATGCACCAATTTGTGAGTCGCTCTGGATAAGAGCGTCTGCTAAATGACTAAAATGTAAAATGTAATGTAAATGTACATAGGTCACAAATAAAGCTATCCCCAGTAAAATTGGAGCACAACTCATGAGCCCACCTCCTGCACTGCTCACACCTAATCCAGTCCCCACCTGTGACTGAAAACAGTGGGAGAGATGCCAATTGAAAAGCTTTCACTTAAAAACATTTCTAGCTATATGACATAAAATGTTGTGTGAAATAGCTAAAAGGCTATAAAGTAACATTAACTGTAAAGTTATCAGTCACTACTGAAAACATTTACAACTGAAATTAACATAAAATGTTGTGTAAAATAGCTAAAAGGCTATAAAGTAACATTAACTGTAAAGTTATCAGTCACTACTGAAAACATTTACAACTGAAATTAAGTTATCTTTTTAATGTATTTTACCTCAGACGATCTGGTAGTAAGGTTGCTAGCTAGCACTCCTAGCAGTTTACGCTAACTAGCTAGCTGGC